TCAAATTACGTGGCCCTAAGCGCACTACCAGAGATGTGCGGATGTTTTTACAAGCCAGAGCTCAGGCTTTAACGGTAATTATGAAAACAAACCATATTAATGATATCATTTATCATTTCCACACATCGGCGGTGTGAGGCCAACCGCAAGGTTTCCACTGGACAGAAGAAACACTGGCGATCGTCTAAACAAATGGTAAGATTTTCCACTCACAGATGAGATGTTTCAGTTCTTTCAAAATCCTTTGGGCCATTGTGCAAATTGCATGTGAGCCGCAGGGCGAAATGTCAAGGCCCATCTGTTGCATGAACCAACGCCAAACAAGCTCCCTGCATCCAATCACAATATGATTACCCGCCAATCTATGTAAGCATTATATAGAACATTATTATCCACTTCACACAGGATTCACTAAAACATTTAGTTTCCTTCTTGTTATAAACTTATTTATACTTAATCCCCATAAATGAATGATAACTCTGTTAAACAAACTAAGTTGGCTTTGTGCTCTTGGGTTAAAACTCAGAAGTCGGCCTCCTTCCTCAGATAGAGGAGAAGTTTAGGGCTTCATTTAAATTCCACATGTTTGAAAGATTTCTCCTGTAAGTCTGGCTTTGCTCCAAATTATGTCTCTCGGGTTCGCATACCACTGAATAATTTGTCCAAATGTCATTTGCAATTCCCCAAAAATCTCCTCTCCACCATAAGCTTTTCCCAAAACATCTGCAACAAATAGTTGTTTTGAGAATACATCAGTGCTGTTGCTGCTACATGACCTTAAGCTGTATAACCAAGCATTAAAACACGTTTCAATTTCCATAGAATTAGAAACCTGATAAGACCCGCAGTAGCCACCTGCACACAGTGATATTTACCATTAGTTCTGGGGAGCTCCAAATCATGTGTTACAAATCTTTTTTTTTTTTTCTTTTTGCTGCTGCAGTCTATATAATTAGCTGTAATTGACTTCCCTTGAAATGTGTTTCTTCTGGGACATCTGGCCTTGAAACTTCAGCCTTCCCATACAAGGGGCCGGCTCTGAGCTACATTTGGGAATTTTATAACCTGCCTGGGTGGCAAACATAAGTCCAGATAAATGTAAAAAAAATGAAAAAACTAAATAAAAAATAGAACAAAGCATCCAAAAAAACTGCTCTTACCAGACTATAAAAGGATTTAAACTACAGTAGTTATAAAAATATTACCTCAGAACCAGAGGTGGGTAGTAATTACTTATGTTTTTTTCATATAACTCTAAGGGACGCGTTTTTGCACCGATCTTAACTCTCTTATCTGAAAAAGCATCCCTACTTCTACTTAAAGTTTCTTGCTACTCTGTCTACAACTGACATTCCAGAATAGAGAACAAACATGTTTTAACCAAAAGTGCAGGTTTTTGTTATAATGAGTATTATGATTTTGATTCTACTTTTTATCAGCTGAGCTGTCTAACATTTAGAGGTTAATTAGTAGAGCAAGCAGCGTTTATGGTCACTGGCGGTACCTTAACCTGTTTAAACACAGATATGGTATCTAATGTATTGTTTTCAAATGTTTTATGCTAAAACAAAATTATTTGAGTGTTTCCTCTACATGAGTTTGTGTTTTAATTATCTCACTTATTTTTATTAATTAATTTATCTGCAAAATACTACAAAATACCTTGTTTTTTTCTATTAAATCAGATATTATCAGTTACTCAGTACGTTAGTAGCTTATCAAATGCATTTTAACTCTTAAGTAATTCTTGTTTTGCTACTTTTTACCTTTAGTATGAATATGAAGTAGATCTAGTTGAGAACCTGTTCTGGGTACTCTCCTGTTCAGCTCAGGACAATGACTGAGCAGTAAAGAATTTTGATTATGTTGCCCATCTTTAAGGATAACTAATTGAATAAATGGAAAAGTTAAATTTAATTTAATAACTTGTGGCTTATAATGATGCTTTGCAAGTACTTTTGAAATGGCCAAGATGGACTAGTTCGAGTGTGTCAATACCTTATATGCTGTTTAAGTAAGTAAGTAAGTAAGTAAGTAAGTAAGTAAGTAAGTAAGTAAGTAAATAAGGAAGTAAGTAAGTAAATAAGGAAGTAAGTAAGGAAGTAAGGAAGTAAATACGTAAGGAAGTAAGTAGGGAAGTAAGTAAGGAAGTAAGTAGGTAAGTAAATAAGGAAGTAAGTAAGGAAGTAAGTAGGTAAGTAAATAAGGAAGTAAGTAAGTAAATAAGGAAGTAAGTAAGGAAGTAAGGAAGTAAATACGTAAGGAAGTAAGTAGGTAAGTAAATAAGGAAGTAAGTAGGTAAGTAAAAAAGGAAGTAAGTAAGTAGGTAAGTAAATAAGGAAGTCAGTAAGTAAGGAAGGAAGTAAATAAGGAAGTAAGGAAGTAAGTAAGGAAGGAAGTAAGTAAATAAGGAAGTAAGGAAGTAAGTAAATAAGGAAGTAAGTAAATAAGGAAGTAGGGAAGTAAGTAAGGAACTAAGTAAGTAAATAAGGAAGTAAGTAAGTAAGTAAGGAAGAAAGTAAGTAAGTAAGTAAGAAAGTAAGTAAGTAAGTAAGTAAGTAAGGAAGAAAGTAAGTAAGTAAGTAAGTAAGGAAGAAAGTAAGTAAGTAAGGAAGAAAGTAAGTAAGTAAGTAAGTAAGTAAGGATGTAAGTAAGTTAGGAAGGAAGGAAGGAAGTAATTCTTGTTTTGCTACTTTTTACCTTTAGTATGAATATGAAGTAGATCTAGTTGAGAACCTGTTCTGGGTACTCTCCTGTTCAGCTCAGGACAATGACTGAGCAGTAAAGAATTTTGATTATGTTGCCCATCTTTAAGGATAACTCATTGAATAAATGGAAAAGTTAAATTAAATTTAATAACTTGTGGCTTATAATGATGCTTTGCAAGTACTTTTGAAATGGTCAAGATGGACTAGTTCGAGTGTGTCAATACCTTATATGCTGTTTAAGTAAGTAAGTAAGTAAATAAGGAAGTAAGTAAGTAAATAAGGAAGTAAGGAAGGAAGTAAGGAAGTAAATACGTAAGGAAGTAAGTAGGTAAGTAAATAAGGAAGTAAGTAAGGAAGTAAGTAGGTAAGTAAATAAGGAAGTAAGTAAGTAAATAAGGAAGTAAGTAAGTAAATAAGGAAGTAAGTAAGGAAGTAAGGAAGTAAATACGTAAGGAAGTAAGTAGGTAAGTAAATAAGGAAGTAAGTAAGTAGGTAAGTAAATAAGGAAGTCAGTAAGTAAGGAAGGAAGGAAGGAAGGAAGTAAATAAGGAAGTAAGGAAGTAAGTAAGGAAGGAAGTAAGTAAATAAGGAAGTAAGTAAATAAGGAAGTAAGGAAGTAAGTAAATAAGGAAGTAAGTAAATAAGGAAGTAAGGAAGTAAGTAAGGAACTAAGTAAGGAAGTAAGTAAGTAAGTAAGGAAGAAAGTAAGTAAGTAAGTAAGTAAGTAAGTAAGTAAGGATGTAAGTAAGTTAGGAAGGAAGGAAGGAAGGAAGGAAGGAAGGAAGGAAGGAAGGAAGGAAGGAAGGAAGGAAGGAAGGAAGGAAGGAAGGAAGGAAGGAAGGAAGGAAGGAAGGAAGGAAGGAAGGAAGGAAGGAAGGAAGGAAGGAAGGAAGGAAGGGTCATTCACTCTGTCTATAAACTATAATAAACTTGAATTGTTTCTGCCAAAATATATACACTATATTGCCAAAAGTATTTGCTCACCTGCCTTGACTCACATATGAGCTTAAGTGACATCCCGTTCCTAATCCATAGGGTTCAATATGACGTCGGTCCACCCTTTGCAGCTAGAACAGCTTCAACTCTTCTGGGAAGGCTGTCCACAAGGTTTAGGAGTGTGTTTATGGGAATTTTTGACCATTCTTCCAGAAGCGCATTTGTGAGGTCGCACACTGATGTTGGACGAGAAGGCCTGGCTCTCAGTCTCCGCTCTAATTCATCCCAAAGGTGTTCTATCGGGTTGAGGTCAGGACTCTGTGCAGGCCAGTCAAGTTCATCCACACCAGACTCTGTCATCCATGTCTTTATGGACCTTGCTTTGTGCACTGGTGCACAGTCATGTTGGAAGAGGAAGGGGCCAGCTCCAAACTGTTCCCACAAAGTTGGGAGCATGGAATTGTCCAAAATGTCTTGGTATGCTGAAGCATTCAGAGTTCCTTTCACTGGAACTAAGGGGCCAAGCCCAGCTCCTGAAAAACAACCTCACACCATAATCCCCCCTCCACCAAACTTTACACTTGGCACAATGCAGTCAGACAAGTACCGTTCTCCTGGCAACCGCCAAACCCAGACCCGTCCATCAGATTGCCAGATGGAGAAGCGCGATTCGTCACTCCAGAGAACGCGTCTCCACTGCTCTAGAGTCCAGTGGCGGCGTGCTTTACACCACCGCATCCGACGCTTTGCATTGCACTTGGTGATGTATGGCTTGGATGCAGCTGCTCGACCATGGAAACCCATTCCATGAAGCTCTCTGCGCACTGTTCTTGAGCTAATCTGAAGGCCACATGAAGTTTGGAGGTCTGTAGTGATTGACTCTGCAGAAAGTTGGCGACCTCTTCGCACTATGCGCGTCAGCATCCGCTGACCCCGCTCCGTCAGTTTACGTGGCCTACCACTTCGTGGCTGAGTTGCTGTCGTTCCCAAACACTTCCATTTTCTTATAATACAGCTGACAGTTGACTGTGGAATATTTAGGAGCGAGGAAATTTCACGACTGGATTTGTTGCACAGGTGGCATCCTATCACAGTTCCACGCTGGAATTCACTGAGCTCCTGAGAGCGACCCATTCTTTCACAAATGTTTGTAAAAACAGTCTGCATGCCTAGGTGCTTGAATTTATACACCTGTGGCCATGGAAGTGATTGGAACACCTGATTCCAATAATTTGGATGGGTGAGCAAATACTTTTGGCAATATAGTGTATTTGGGATGTGGGAAGCGGTGATGTTTTAGCCCAGTTTTAGCCCAGAACAGTTAAAATGAAGAAGAGAAAAAAAAGAAGAACCTACCTGTTCTCCATCTTTTAGCTTGAGGATACACTCCATGGTGTTGATGGTGATAACGACAGGCTCTGAGCCCAGCTTGGTCCAAGGAACGTGGATTCGTAGCTCATGGATATGCCCACTCATGAATGTAAACGGCAGCTTCAACTCCTGCAAAAACAAAAAAAAACAAAGAGAAGATTTAAAGGAAGAAAAAAATGCCAAAGATAAGAGCTTTACCCATGAGTAGTTATTATTTCTTAAACACCATAAAAAAAATAAGTAAACACAACCATGTTAGTATCACTTCAAAATTCAGAGCAGAGATGCCTTATCCTACTACACGACATGAACGACAGAAGTGACGCCAAAGCTCTTTAGAATCAACCATAATAATAAAACAGAAACTAAGTTTGCTTTTTGCTTTATAAAGAAAAAGTTTCAACATTGATATTTAAAGACAATATATTCCCGAAAAAAGCGTTCTTTTTTAATTCTGATCAATTTTTGTACATGCACATTTAAGAACAGTTTCACTTCCAGCTAAATTACAACAGAAGCCCCAAACCAAGATTTTAAAAAGTAAAAAAAAACTTGCAAATTAATAGTTTCATTTAGTTGGTGGTAAATGTTTTGTAAAATTATACATATGCTCCATTTGATTCAGTCTCTTTTACCTCTAAAGTTCCTTCTAGTCACCTATTTAGTAATAAAAGTTCATCTAATCTCAGCTTTTCTGTGAACAGCATCAAGAAGGTCAGTGAATATAGCAGAAAGTCATTGGGGGCTGAAAGCATTATGGAGCTCGGCTCCACCTGCCATCCAAAAGAAAGAGGAATAAAGCTCTGCTACAGAGATTCACAGCTCAGCTGGGAGAATATGGCATCAGGGTACCTGTAAGTTGTGCAATTCTCAAAGTTGGCCTTTATAGACTATCAACAACATTGTTTAATTGAGAAAAAGTCAAAATTGTTTACCAGCATATCTGATAAGACATAATTTGAACTTTTAGGCCAAAAGGCAAACTAAGTATGTGTGGCAAACACCTTCATCTCTAAACACGGTGCAATGTTGGTGGCAGCAGCAGCATCACCCTGTGGTGATACTGAATCAATCCAGGGAGAAAAATAAAAATCACTGATTACTAAGAAAATGAGACTAATCACTAGAAAAAAAACAGTACTTCAAGACCAGCTCCACTAATTAGAACTGGACAGGATTTAATAAAATATATGTAAATGCTGAAAATACACAAAACTACTTTTTTAATTTCAAAAGAGAATTCAAACCCAGGAATGATTTCTTTTCATTTTACAATTACATATGAATGTTGAAAAACGTTCCAAGCGAGCATGTTTTGTAAATGCAGATCAAAAAGTATGTATTTCAAATATTTCTTTTAAATCTATTTTTCCGATTTTATTTCTTAACATTTGAATTTTCATATTTTTCTATTCTTTAATTTTTGACAATTAAATAAAAAGAATGCAAAAAAGAAAATACTAACCAATAACATTTGAAAAAACAACTAAAAAACTAATTTAAAATATAATATAATTTAAAAAAAAAATAATATTTGAAAGGAAATTACATTTGAAAAACTAATATATGAAAACTAATTTTAAAAACCAAAAAAAATCTGCAGTTACTCTAAAAACCTTTTTCTATCAAACATTGTTTGATAGAAAACAAATGTTAACAATTTGTTTTGTTTTGTTTTTTTCTTAGTACAAAATGTGTTCTATCCTTACAACAATACTGGAACCAAATTCACTCCATTTGGTTTTAGTGTTACAAAATGTAAGAAAATCAAAGGTAATATAATGCATTTTAATTAGCGCATTATACTATATGAGGCCTTAGATTCTGGTGGGGTCTTCTATTGCAAATCTCCCTGAGATTGAAAGATCTTGCTGGAGAAATACCATCCTAACTTTGCTCAAAGCAGCTTGACTTACTGGTGTTCAATATTCAATAGGGTTTAATTTCCCTGATGAGGACCACTGCCCAGGAGTATAGTTAAGTTGGGCTGCCATGTGCCTCTGATGGAAAGTTTAGGTAGGGGCCAGGGCTCGCACATAAACCTCATAATATGTATTTTCTATGTGATGTAATGGTGGCTTCCTTAAACAGGTAATGTAGGATCCCATAGAGATGGATATGGCAGCCTACTAAAGTATTCTACCACTTTTCCATGTTCTGTTTATTGGCCCATTCTTCAAGGTAAAACTATTTCAGCTCCTGTATGTTGGCGGGTTTTAACGTGAACAGCACTCATCAACTCCAAGACAAATTCTACTGTGGATTAAGGTCTGGACTTTGCCAAGGCCATTCCAACATACCCAAATGGTTCTCTTTAAAGCACTCAAGTGTTATTTTAGAAGTATTCTTTGGGTTATTGTCCTGTTGGAAAAGAAAACATCCCTCTCATTCTCAAATCACAGGCAGATCCATATTAAACAGCTTTCTAGAAATCTAGGCCATATTGCAAATGCTTTTCTTACTTCAGGGTTGAACTATTGTAATTCTTTATCATCAGCAAGTCCACAAACTTTAGTTAAAAGTCTTCAGATGATCCAAAATCCTGCAGCCAGAGTTCTGATAAAAATTAAAGAGAGATCACAATTGTCTTATTTTAATTAGCCTGCGTTGGCTTCCTTATGTTCCTAACAGAGCACTTCGCTCTCAATCGCAGGTTTACTAGTGGTTCCTTGAACTTCTAAAAGGAGAACAGGAGGCAGATCTTTTAGTTATCAGGCTGAAAACTACCTCTGTGTGCAGGCTTCCTCCACCCCATCTGAGAGGGTGTTCTCCACGGCTGGAGACACCATAAGCCCTGAAAGTTCCCGTATCCTTCCAGAAAAGCAGATATGCTCATCTTTCTGCAAAAGAAGTGTTAATTTTCCCTACTACTGTTTTATAATTAGTATTTTTTGTTATTTAAAATAGATTATTATCCCATCATTTGTTATTAGACATTGTTGGTTATTAAGTTTGTTCTTGTATTCATTTTTCATTTAAACACAGATGTTACTCCAGTTTCACATTTCCTGTGGACATCTTGATCTTGTTGAGTTTGTAAGAAGATGTGCAATAGTTAAGTAAACAAAGTTGATTCTGATAATCAAACTGTTTGTTCTCCTTTTCCCCCCAAATTGGAATCGAAAAAAGAATCGATAAAGAATCGAATCGTTTCATAGAATCGAAAAGGGAATCGGAATCGTGAAAATCTTTTCAATTCCCAACCCTACCTGCAATATCTTTATACATATGCTTCTATAGGCTTAGACTGCTGGAGGACATAGGGACCCCCTTTCTCATTCTGCTGCTCTAATCTCCCCATTTGGTAGAATTTGTTAGTTCAGCCTCTAACGTTATGTTCCCTCTGCTTTTCCTCATAATAGTAGCTTCATCCGGTTTGATCCTGTTTGGTTGGGACTTCATCCTGGAAAAAAAATATCAGTAGTGCTGCTGCCATCAACACCTCCAATTATAGATGACATAGTTGGCACTGTTTTCCAATGCTTAGTCATTTTTCACTCTTAGACATAGCTACAGGCTAAGCTTTTACTGACTAACTTGTTTTGTTTTTTCTTCTTCAATGTTCTATTTGGTCTCCACATATATAATATCTTTTATCACATTATGATAGGCCTACCTTGTTTATTAAAAATGTAGGTCAAGCAATTGTGGGGACAAGGTTGGTGGTAGGGTTGGCAAAAGTATTGAAACCCTGAAAAGTATCAATATTCTAATGCCATATGCGGATGCAATACAAATTTGACACGTTATGGATACTTAAGTGTTGTTTTCTTATTTTGTTATGGTTAATTTTAGATTCCTAGATTATTTGCACATTGAAGGAACAAGACTACAAAAAAATATTGTTGTATTGTTTTATTTTTGTACACTTATTTATCCAAAAGAAAAATAAATGTGTTTTTATGCTTTTAAACAGTTGGAATTTTTTTATTTCACCTTGTATCAAAAATGTTATGGAGTGTTTTCCTGGATATTGATGTCGAGTTCGAAATTTTCTTATCATGACAATCCTAGTTAATGCCGATAAATCCAACTGTTTAGAGCCTAATCTTGCCATGTTTACCAGTTTTAAATAAACAAGGAATTTGGCTTTGGTTTCAAATGCTAACAGCCTACAGAAAATAGGTGTAAATATATAAACTATAAAGGAAAAAATGGGATTATTTGAGGAAGTAAGGAGGATCAGCGAGCGATTCATTAGAAGATGAAACCTTAATAGGAAAAGTAGAAATAACTAAGGTAAAGGGACTATACCTGTTCAGGACTTTAACCTCTAAGTTTGTAGCCCTCTAAGAAGGGGGCTTTCCCTCCTTAGCAACAATACAGGTTTATTGCTGAACAACTCTGAGATTGACACACACTTATCATATGTCCAGATCTTCATCTGAGACTTATCTACAAAAATATCAACTTCATTCATTCATCTACAGACTGCAGCTCAAAACAGTCGCCTGTGGCGGTAGGTCTTTGCAAATGGTGTTCTGTTGTGGCAACCTTAAGGTAAAAGTCCAAACAGTCTGTGTCCAAGCTGTGTGGTTTCTGCAGAGATGTTAACTTTGCTTATCCTCACTGAAGACCAATAAAATTTCAGAAAGGAGGCAGGATTAGCCTTGCTTTTTCTCTCTGAAGACCCTCATTATTGTACATCCATCTTGTTTTGTGGATGAATCAAACCAAAGTTGTGTGATATGCCCAGCAAAAGCTGCATAACTGCATGGTGGAAGAAAACCAGCAGCTCCAGTGAAATGTAGTAGAGTTGGGTGTGCAGGTGGCACAGTAGTTAAAGTGCACAACCCATGTACGGAGGCCTTAGTCCTCGACGCGGCCGATCCGGGTTCGAATCCGGCCTGTGGTGCTTTGCAGCATGTCTCTCTCTCTCTCTCTCTCTCTCTCAGACACCCTTTCATGTCAGCCTACTGTCGAAAAAACGAGCCGCTAGTGCAGTAATAACATAATAATGTAGTAGAGTCTCTATCGAGGACCATTTGCACACTCAAAGAGTTTTAAAGACGGATCAGCTGAGGTATATTCATTTGTGTTCATAGAGAAGAGGAATGAGGGGACAACACACCTCTTAGCATGGTTCTGCTGCGGGGGAAGATGCTTGTCAGTATCACCCAATACTGTAAGTCAGTCCAGAAGCCGGTGATCCAAAGACAGGTGGAGGGTCACGCTGTAAACTGGGTAAGCTTCTGGTGGCAAATTTATCGTTTGATGGAGTTGAAAGCTGAACCCAAATCTGAAAATCTGGACCCTGCTGTACATCCCTGGGTGGTCAAAGAGTCTCAAGTTTAAACGTAGTCTTAAACCGACAGCATGATCTGATGACTAGTTACTCAGCAGGGGGCCTTTGATCTCCTTCAGATGCTTCATAATCAGTCCCTCAAATGATTTCATGACATTAGGGTCAGTAGTCAGTTAATCCTGTTATTGCTTTCGATGTTGGTATCTTAAGGCTAAACAATTTATTACATCTGCAACATGATCACATAAAAATTACATTTTAGTTTTAATGAGTCACTCATGTTTTGGCCCTGTAGCTTATGGTATTAAGCTTACGTTTGAGGGTTTGTCGCCAAAAAAATAAATAAAAGAGACGAGAGAGATGCAGCCAGAGTGCAGACCCATGCATATAGACTAGAAGTAAACAGTTTTCCACGCAAAAGTTAAATCCTGTGACAATGGACTCTGGACAAGAGAGCATCAAGGACATGAAAACATTGAAACCCTGAAGCCAAACATGTATATGTGTGCAGGTAGGAGGAAAAAAATCTAAATAAAACTGAAATCACAATTTTTGCTTCAACAAATAGATAAAACATTTGATTTTAAGCATACGTTTAAAGCTCTCATATTCTTATAACCAGTTCAAAACAAAGTTTATAGATAATATTGTTATCTTTGTGTTTCCGAAAGTAATGACCATTCATCTGCATTTTAACACTATTAATGTTTCCCAGGGAAATGAATGTCAGTCTTCTTATTTATTTCTATCTTTTGGTTATTTTGGTCCTTGGTTGCATGAATTATTTAAAAAAATTCCATAAAAGATAATTATATTCGATTTAGCTTGTTACCTGGTTTAATATAACAACAAAAATTGTGTGTTGTTTATCAGAGACACGCTGTTTAGAATATAATATTTTCATAATTAAGCACGATGAAATTTACACCAAAGGATAGGACACTTTTCCATAGTTACAGGTGCTGGTCATAAAATTAGAATATCATGAAAAAGTAGATTGATTTCAGTAATTCCATTTAAAAAGTGAAACTTGTATATTATATTCATACATTACATACAAACTCATATATTTCAGATGTTTATTTTGTTTAATTTTGATGATTACAAATGACAACAAATGAAAATCTCAAATTCATCATATCAGAAAATTAGAATATTACTGAAGACCAATAAAAACAAAGGATTTATAGAAATGTTGGCCAACTGAAAAGTATGAACATGAAAAGTATGAGCATGTACAGCACTCAGTATTTAGTTGGGCCTCCTTTGGCCTGTATTACTGCAGCAATGCGGCGTGGCATGGAGTCGATCAGTCTGTGGCACTGCTCAGGTGTTATGATAGCCCAGGTTGCTCTAATAGTGGCTTTTAGCTCTTCTGAATTGTTGGGTCTGGTGTATTGCATCTTCTTCTTCACAATACCCCATAGATTTTCTATGGGGTTAAGGTCAGGAGAGTTTGCTGGCCAATTAAGAACAGGGATACCATGGTCCTTCAACCAGGTACTGGTAGCTTTGGCACTGTGTGCAGGTGCCAAGTCCTGTTGGAAAATGAAATCTGCATCTCCAAAAAGTTGGTCAGCTGCAGGAAGCATGAAGTGCTCTAAAACTTCCTGGTATGTGGCTGCGTTGACCCTGGACCTCAGAAAACACAATGGACCAACACCAGCAGATGACATGGCACCCCAAACCATCACTGACTGTGGAAACTTTACACTGGACTTCAAGCAACGTGGATGAAGTGCCTCTCTTCTTTTCCTCCAGACTCTGGGACCTTGATTTCCAAAGGAAATGCAAAATTTACTTTCATCAGAGAACATGACTTTGGACCACTCACCAGCAGTCCAGTCCTGTTTCTCTTTAGCCCAGGCAAGACGCTTCTGACGCTGTCTGTGGTTCAAGAGTGGCTTGACACAAGGAATGCGACAGCAGAAACCCATGTCTTTCATACGTCTGTGTGTGGTGGTTCTTGAAGCACTCACTCCAGCTGCAGTCCACTCTTTGTGAATCTCCCCCACATTTTTGAAGGGGTTTTGTTTCACAATCCTCTCCAGGGTGCGGTTATCTCTCTTGCTTGTACACTTTTTTCGACCACATCTTTTCCTTCCCTTCGCCTCTCTATTAATGTGCTTGGACACTGAGCTCTGTGAACAGCCAGCCTCTTTAGCGATGACCTTTTGTGTCTTGCCCTCCTTGTGCAAGGTGTCGATGGTCGTCTTTTGGACAACTGTCAAGTCAGCAGTCTTCCCCATGATTGTGTAGCCTATAGAACTAGACTGAAAGACCATTTAAAGGCTTTTGCAGGTGGTTTGAGTTAATTAGCTGATTAGAGTGTGGCACCAGGGGCCATCAATTTTGAACCTTTTCACAATATTCTAATTTTTTGATATGATGAATTTGAGATTTTCATTTGTTGTCATTTGTAATCATCAAAATTAAACAAAATAAACATCTGAAATATATGAGTTTGTATGTAATGTATGAATATAATATACAAGTTTCACTTTTTTAAATGGAATTACTGAAATCAATCTACTTTTTCATGATATTCTAATTTTATGACCAGCACCTGTATATGTCATTATTTAGTTCATTTTACTTAATGCATATTTATCAATTTTCCTATTAACTGAGATTTTAGGACAATTATTTAAAGCTTTTATTGCAACAGATTGCATTGCAGCAATGTGTCGAGTCAGAAAAGTAAAAAATATATTGAGGATACGTTACCTGCTCCAACACATCCAGCTTCAGGTCCAACTTGCTGAGCACCACGTCCCCTCCCCATAGAGAAAGCTGCAGGTCGGAGGGCTTCAGGTTCTTGATGTACTTGTTCACATAGCTCATCAAGAGCGGCGTCACGTAGGACTCCAGCATCTTTTCACTGCTGTGGAGACAAATCAAATGCTGAAATGTCTTGGAACATTTTGTGTTCACTGGAACAATTTTCCATGAAACACTGGGTTTTTTTGTGTGATGTGCAGAACAGTCCAGAAATGTAACCTCTATGTGCAATAATCTCAACCAATCAGGACTAATTAAAAAATATTTATGTTCACAAATCAGTTACAACTCTATAGATGTTCACCATAATAAAGAGGAGGAAAAAGAGAAACACATGGAAGCAACAATACTTTTAAAGGCACACTATGCAACATTTTTCAGTTAATTAATGTGTTCCATAACGTTTTGGATGATTAAATGAGTCATTTCAGGTTGAACAAAGGTATTCTCGGCCGCCCTGGTGGTCTGTGGGGGAAATACCGCACTTGCAATTGCAGGAGCACCGACCCGCACCCACAGGCTCAGAAGTCTCGTGAGAGTCAGTCTTGCTTTACGGCGAGAACTGCTACACGCCCCCCAGTTAAAAGCATGCTCGTTTCTAGCACAGTGGCGATCTTTGTGCAGTGCTGCTTTCACACTGGACGCAGCAAAATCGCGTCTGCTGCTTCATTTTTACTGCTTGTACCAGTTAGTTCTGACGCACGGCTGAAGCAGCTTTGCTGCCCTGGCTGCGCTGTGCAAAAGTGGGTCTGACGCGCGTTGGGCGGAGCTTCACTATCCTTTCTCTGCCTTGCAGCTATATTTGCTGTGATCAGTGGGAATAAAGTCGTTTTAATATGTGTTTAAGTGAGAAAATACACCTGAAAACATAATCAGTGCAGTCAGTTCATTCAGATTACAATCCTGCCTTACAATATTTTTTCTGTCGGAGCCGCTCAGACCCCCACATACCAGCGGTGCGCCGACAGTAAGAATCCCTTCATCAGCAGCCTCTGGCCGGGTCGCCTCCTCGCGGTTCACCGCGGCAGCTGGCAGGTGTTTTTCATCTAAATAATCCAAACTGCAGGCAGCAGGATAATAAAAGCGAACATATTCTGCCGGCAGATTTCTGCATTTTAAGTTAATTTAGGCGTCAATAAACTGTTTAAGAGGAGTGATCATAGCGCTCTGATCATCAGCGCTGTGTCTCTCTCCCTGCCAGCTCCCAGATCAGCTTCTCTGATTGGTTGACGCGGTGCGTCGAGCAGCAAAAATTCAATTTTTCCATCTCGAGCAGCAGCGCGTTTGCGGCGCATCAGATGCTTAGTCATTCGTTGCGTTCGCCTGTCTGCTAAGCTCAAAACAACCGCGCCTGGCTTGACGGAGAAACCAGGAGAACAGCTGTGCATATTTACGACAGTGCACTTTTACTTTCTCCCTCTGGGGGGAGCCTCGCTGGAAAATCAACACCGGTTGCATAGTGTACCTTTAATTAGTGGTGTGGAAAAATGTTTTGGCAATATATTGTGATTTTTGGCTGCCTGATATAATTTGGATGTTTTAGTTCATAGTATCGATTTTTTTAAAGCAAAACATTTTTACATAAAACTGAGGGAAAATGGGCTACTTTTGTACCACCACTCTGGCAGATAACACTGTGGAGCCCTTTAGCTGTGCAGCGCAGCATTAGATCTGTAGTTGAGGCAGTCACAGTGGAAGACGTGGACCGACTAAAACCCCAAACAACATGGATACCAAAATAACTGAACGATCAGCATCATCTGATGAACATATAAGGAGGTTGCTTTTTTATCTATACATTCAATTTAGATAGCAGGAAAAATATATAAATATATGTTGAAATTGCAATATAGAGATAATATTGTATCGTTACCCAAGTATCGTGACATGTTACTTTTAATTCAAGCAGATCTGCTTAACAAAATCCAGCTTAAGTTTTTATCGTATCATTTGAGGAAGAAAGGAGGATCAGCAAGCGATTAATTAGAAGATGAAACCTTAATAGGGAAAAGTAGAAATAATTAAGGTAAAGGGACTATTCCTGTTCAGCACTTTAACCTCTAAGCTTTTAGCCCTCTAAGAAGAGGGCTTTCCCTCATTAGCAACCACAGCAGCTTAAACACCACGCAAAAAAGCACAAAGATAGCCAAAATTGACCAAATTTCTGTTTCTGTTGACCTGAATTTCACAACAGAGAGAGCAGTGCTGAAAAGCAAAGCTAAGGAAAGCCAACACCATGCTGGATCCATCCATGTTAAACTCATTCTCATCCAAGGCTACGTTCACACTGCAGCCTGAAGCGACCCAAATCCAATTTTTTGGCCCATCTGATCTTTTCATGGCTGTCTGAACAACACAGATCTGATTTTTTTCAATGTGACCCAGGCCAATTGGCTCTGTGGTCCTGGATCTGATACGAATCTGATCTTTTCAAAGACTACCTGTGTGCGAACGACCAGGTCGCATTCATCTGGCCTGAATGTCATTAACACCCGACAGTAGTCACTCTTCTGTTTCTTGCTACACAGAAGTGGCAAGAAAAACAACAGCAATGGCAGACGATGATGCGGAGAGCAGTATTTATGTTTAACCGTCTTGGAAAGATTGAGTTTTTAAGGTTGGGAAACATCGCTAGATGTTCTCCAGCGCTACCATCCATGTTTACTTCTGTATACACAGACAACGTTTGCTTGTGAAGTCATTGCGTCCTCTACTGCGCATGCGGGACACTTAACCTGTATGAATGCAGTTTACACAGGAGATCACATACAAGTCGCATATATTTGGAAATGTGAATGGCAAGGCAAAAAAAAATGGATTTCACAAAAAAAGCCGGAATTGAGCATCAAGGCCTGCAGTGTGAACATAGCCTTAAGCCATAGGGTTGCGTCTGGATTTTTCTCATTCCTAACATGTATAACTTTTCCGCTACCTGTTGTGTGCACACCAAAGTGGCTACAGATGTCACATTTCAATGTTCTAGTTTCATTTATTGTGTTTATGTCCATTTTGTATGCAGACATAAAAAACATTTTTTATTCAAGCCAAGAATAATTTTATCTTACATTTTCACATCAGGACATTTTTACTAGTTGATAACAGGATCAGCAGTTTGGGCACTGTATAAGGTGAGAAATGCTTTATAAAGTATCAGTATGCATTTTTTGGAAAACAGACTCTTAAGGAGCAGAAGTATGAGGACTGCAAAAAAAACTCCACACTAAATTGAATGATACATTCATATGCTGATGGTGGTGAGCTAATCTGTAGCCACAGCTGTCCTGGGAAACAACCACTGAGATGGATGGAGCAAGGACTTGAACAGACAGAATATCATGTGAAAGCAAAATATGAATGTCAGACAGCGAATCTTGTAACAGATTAGTTACACATGCAGTGGAAGCCAAAGAACGACCAAAAAAAGCCAAACGACCCCATTTCAAAGGGTTTGACCCGTTTGTCCGTTCCAATTTGCTTGTTTTCAAAACAAAAACAAGGCTTTGTTGAGCTACTGTACAAAACCTCGAACTCAAAGGTATTCCTGACATTTTGAATTGAAAAAGATTCCTTGATGGGAAGAGAAACATCTTCAAACTTGGAAACAAAATCGAGTGGATTGTTTTTAACTTTTTATGGAATGCATGGAAACTACCAAGGGCAATTCTGTTTATCTATGGAAAAAAAAAATGAAATACTCCCTGAACAGCTGATTTATTTAAACTCTTTTTGTTACTAGTAACCAGAGGTACGACATGTGGAATCAACAAGTCATCTCTATGACATGTATTTGCTCTGCCCAGCCACTGAGCCAAGTGAATTGTGCAGATTGTACTTACCTGGTTCAGTGGCTGGGCAGAACAAATACATGTCACAGGCTATGTTCACACTGCAGGCCTTGATGCTCAATTCCGATTTTTTTTTTTTTTTTTTTTTTTTTTTTTTGCGTTGCCGTTCACATTTCCAAATATATGCGACTTGTATGTGATCTCCTGTATGAACTACAGTCATACAACACAGGTGTCTCGCAGGCCAGAATGCTCTGCGTTTACAGAAGTAAACATGGATGGTAGCGCTGAAGCGCATCTAGTGATCTATCCCAAAATTAAAAAGCCAATCTTTACCCTACTTCACTCTACTTACATTGCAGTGTCCATTTAATATGTAATACTCCCTGCATGAATTATAGCAACACTATTTGTATGCATAAATAAAGCAGAAGATTATGGCAATAGCCGTACTGCTCCACTTGTGAAAGCAAAATCTGTTGGGCTCTTTTTGGCATAAAGACAATTATTCTTATTGTCACATTGCCAGACAGGAAAAACAAAAAAACAAAAAAAAACAATCTTTTCAAGATGGGTAAACATAAATACTGCTCTCTGCATTAGCGTCCACAATTGGTGTTGTGTTTCTTGTTGCTTCTGTGCAGCAAGAAGCAGAATAGTGAGCTTTGTCAGGTATTAATGACGTTCAGGTCAGATGAATAGAATAAAATAGAATAGAATACAATTTATTGTCATTCCACTGTCACAAGTACAGTGCAACAAAATGAATTATCTGCATTTAACCCATCCCCTTGGGGAGCAGTGGACTGCCATTGTGCGGCGCCCGGGGAATTTAACAAGATTAGATACGTATCGGATTCAGGACCACATAGCCAAGTGGCCTGGGTCGCATTGAAAAAATCAGATCTGTGTTGTTCAGACTGTCATGAAAAGATCAGATCCAGGTCGCATATGGGCCAAAAAAATCGGATTTGGGTCACTTCAGGCTGCAGTGTGAACGTAGCCATAGAGATGACTGGATGTCTCCACATCTCCCACCTCTGCAAAGGTGCAGATGCAAAAGGAAGTACTGAGACATTTCACAGCTGGATAGAAAACAAGAAACATCTAACTGGAGAAAACATTCATAGCCAAGAATGAAATGATGAGAGATACAGTCAAGCACATTTAATCTTTTTATATTCTAACCAGTGTGATTAAATAAATATAAGTTGATTAATTGTTAAACTGCTCTCATCAAAGGCAAAACTCAGGCATTTGTTGTGTATTTTGCCTGTATTGATATAGCTGCTTAAGAAAGGGGACTAT